AGAGAGAGAGAGAGAGAGAGAGAGAGAGAGAGAGAGAGAGAGAGAGAGAGAAAAAAAAAGGGAGAGAGAAAGATGAGGAGGGTGGATACATGAAATAGTACTTTAACTCTGTTGTGGATGTTGTGTTTCTGGGTTGAGTGTATCTACAGTCAACTGCCACAGGATTCCGCCAGATTCAAAGGTTCACTGACAGATTAGATTTGGATCTTGAACTTTATTGAACTTTAGTTTGATTTTCTGCTCGCTTTGGATGTTTGTGTGCACTTTACACTCAAAGAAAATGTATAGTGCCAACAAACGGGGAGGATAATGAATCAAGTACACTGAAAGTGCAGTGGGAGCAGACCACACCAGAGCGCCTGATTTTGAAGTGGATGTTGCACGATCACCAACAAATCATCATAAATTTCAATGACGTCATTGCGAGTACTATGAATATCATTTGACATGTAATTGGCACGTTCGTCGTTATCCATTAATGCGGCATTCAGTATTTACCCACGTGATGGAAAAAGTGCCGTTAATGGAAAACTGAAAACTGTTTCACTACACCACTAAATTTCTATCTGAAATAACATCAAGGAAAAAAACTGAACCTTTGTGATCACTAGAAGTACCATGCCAATATAAATAAGATGACATTTACAAATCAATGAAATAAAATCTGTACATTTTTTTAAACATCAGCGTTTGTTAGGATGATGTCATATTTGCGTCATTCGCTATATTTTCGCAACAGTAGAAGTTTAATTTGAGTTTTATAAGACTGAAGCATGAAGTATTGGTGCTACGAATCGAGCACAAAGTGTAACCTCTAAAAATTAAGTTTACCTCAGTATGCTTTTTAACATGACAGATTTGAGAGAAGAATATTATAACAAAGGCGTTCTTAACACAAAAGATGAAAAGGTGTCCATTTGAGGGAAAATCTCCAGTTCAAGGAAGCAATAATTTGTTGTATTTTCCAAAGGGGCAGGTAAATTTAACAAAATCCACATTCTCATTGTTTGAAAAATGTATTGTTTGTTCATGCATGCTCAGGACGTCATGATTGTTCTTTAAACACATGCTGCGATTTTCTGTCTTTGTCTCATGCTTTTGAAAGCCTGGGCTGTATATAATATATAAAAAGTATTGTTCCCATAGAGGTTCTAATGAGACAAGGGACATAACCAGGACGAAATAATGTTCATTATATATTTCAGAATGATTGTATCCCCTTGAAAAATAATCATGCCTCATTGTCCTTCTCGACATTTATTCTATAAGTATGGAATTCCTCATTTATTTGACGATTGTTGTCTGTAAAAAATACATAAAAATTCTGATATCATCTTCATCATCATCATCATCATCATCATCATCATCATCATCATCATCATCATCATCATCATCGTCATCGCCATCATCGTCACCATAATCATCATCTTTGACTCCACGATAATTAAGGTTATCTTCTGCCGTCATGACTTGAAGGTGTTTAAGTCATTATTTAATTTGTTATATCATTTATTTGAAACGCAGCAGCCAAGTAATGTAGTTGTCTCAACTGTTTCTTGTCATGATGGTTATATTGTAGTTGGATTTCTTTCTACTGTTGTTTTTAATTATTGTTACTTTTGTTTATTAAATTTTGTTTCCGCTTTTTAGTTTGATAGAATTAATAATACATGTATTTTTTTTTTTAGGGTTTAAGAATATCGGACTGGCCGCTCGCTTGTAGTCTCATTCTCTCTCTCTCTCTCTCTCTCTCTCTCTCTCTCTCTC